GGCAAAATACTCTTCATAAGTCTGAACTCAAGACCAAGGATACGTATAGTTGCACAGTGGTTTCAATAAAGTAATAGATATACACCTAAAAAAGTTACATAAATGGATATTACAAGTATATTCTTTGTGATTTAAATAGGCCAGTTTTATAACTGATGCTTTAGCAGACACCTTCTCCTGCGCCCAGACAATCATGTCTCACTTTCTTGGAGTGATCAGTGTTGCCAGATAGAGTTGAGGTTTTCCAGCCCAAACATCTGTTAAAAACCACCATATAAGACAAAAATCCACCCAATCAATATGTTGTTACAGTATATTTACTGTTTGAACATGGACGCACATCAGTACAAGCCAAGGTAATTTAACAATATGTGGAAAAACGCAGCAATCCAACAAAAATCTTCCCAGAGTTCCCAGCAAAATCAGAATGTAAACCACCCAATCTGGCCACAATGGGAGTGACGTGTGAGAGTGAAAGAGGGGTGGGCGTCATGTGACCTCAGTGTGTCAAAGTTAGAGGCTGTGAAGAGTTCTGGAAATGTTTTTCAATGTGAAAAATTGCGTCTTTGTTTGCAAATTACATCGTCATGGTAACTCAAAACGCCAATAAAAGTAATAGCACACACACATCATGATGCTGAGCCGGTCGTTTTGATATAACATCTGTGGAGGTAAACGTTGTGGTGTGGGCTACAGTACAGTTGAAGGAAGAGCAAGACCCTTGTCAGGTGATATTAATGGGTGGCTGCCTTTCTACGCAGTCCCCAATTGTCCTGATTGAGCTTTGACAGGTAGTGTTCCCACATTTAAATTAAATCCACAATGCTCAGAGAAACTACATCAGCTTGTAGTGTTCGCACATAGGCCTGTCACGATGACAAATTTTGCTGGGTGATTATTGTCTCAGAAATTATTGCGATAAACGATAATAATCTTTGAAATCTGTCAATAATTAGTAATTATTGTCAAATTTAAGAAAAAAATGTTTGTAAATTTGTTTTGCTTGTAGTATCTTTTTTGACCACCGGATGGCAGTATAAGACAGTTTGAACTGAAGGATGGGTAGTGAGGGAGCGAGCAGTGTATCGCTTTAAGAAAAATGGGAGGGAGGCCCCTGGACGTGACATGGGCTGTCTCTCCTTCCTTTTGTTGGTTCTCAAAATGGCGGACGCTCAGTGTGATTTGAGCTCTTTAGCATAGCACTTTTCACACAAAGCTTTTAATAAAAAAATCAGTAAACAAGTTCTCAGCTTCTTTTTGCAGAGAAAAACTTTTTACACAAAAGCACAAGTTTCAACCGTGAATTCTGGAGCTTCGACAAGACGGAGTTTTTTTTTTCCTCGAGGTCGGCCTGTTAGCTTAGCTTCTCAACTTAGCTGCTTTTAACAATCTAAAAACATGATTTTGGATGGTTAAGACAGGTTTTAAAGAGCAAAGAGAAAGGGAGGGATCAGTGAAGAGCACCGGAGTTGAGCCTTTTGTCATCCAGTGTCTTCAGTAGAAAGAGACGGACGAAGAAACGATAAAGCCGATAAATGAAAATGAAGTCGATAATTTTAATTGATCATGCAATTAATTGATTTATCGTTTATCGTGACAGGCCTATTCGCACATAAACACGAGTTCTGGTTCGCGCCGGAAGTTGCGCCCATAATTCACACAAGGCAGCATGGGGGTTAGGAATAATGTGGATAAACTAATTGTGACAAGTTATCCTGAGGCACAGCTTCACTCGTTCATGGCTCACTAGCGCCCCCCATTGGTTTTCATGCTCCGACATTTCTTTATTATTTTATCTTTAATCTAATAAAAACAGCTTTTTCCAAAATGGCAAACATTTTAGCTAACAGTGTCACTATTCTGTGACTAGTGTCCCTCCCCAGTATCTCTCTCACACACCAGAGCCTCAGTGCTGGGTGTGACGTGTCTGCAGGGAGGACTGGTGTCAACAATCAGCAGCCATCTGTGGGGCTGCTGCACCACGCCGACTGCTACAGACACTCCATTAGCCAAATCATAACGCCAGCCTGCAGCAGACCCAGTGAGCACCCGCTCCCCACTCCCTCCCCCACACCTCTTGGGCATTGCCAGTCCTACTTGTTAGCTCTTGGCTGCTTGGAGGACGTAATTTCAGGCTACGTTCCCTACGTGTGCGGGAGCGCGCGGGGTGTTTCTCTGTGACTCATGCGTCCTCAAAGATCCTCGGCTGCGGCGAGTCCTCAGCGAGCAGCAGCCGATCATTATTCTGTAGCTCATCGCTTCTCTTTAACGCAGCTGCGGGTCTGCTCGGGCTAAATCTGTGCTTCGGCTGCTTGTGTCTGGCCCAGCGTGACTCAGCGCCTGATACCTGCTGGGGCTCCATTACAAGAGCGGCAACACAAAGCTGCATGTGTCAACATTAATACCAGTACACGGCAGCAACATTCTGCTTTTTCCCCCGAATTTCTTCTCAGAAATGTAATTTTCTTCTTGAACATTTTGCTGCTTCAGGTGAAAATGTTATTTTTATTGTAGTATTCATTTTATTATGAACTTAAAATAAAACTTTTCACGTTCTTCCTGTTCCTCTGAACTGGCGGTTAACTAATTATGAGTAAAAAAAAAAAAGATAAAAAAGAAGCGTTATGTCGAAGTCCTCCGTCACCGAGGGATTTGAACAGTTTTGGAGACGAGTGTTTCTCTGGACTGGAATTGAACAGGTAAACCTTAATGTTTTTACTGAAACATATTCAAGTGAGTAGGAGTTACTGTGTAGAAGAATTGAGATTGTTTTTTTTTTTGCTTGTTCGAGGCAGCGCAGCGTTACAGAGTCTGGCGAAGGGAGGAAGCAATTTTATCCACCACCAGATGTAATGGTGGAGCCAGGGGGTGGCCAGTGGTGGCCTTGACCACAATAGATTAATCTTCAGCCACCCCAGTCATTTGAGGAAACTACACTTTCAAGCAATTTAAAAACTAGAAAGCATAGTTTCCTCAAACAGTTGGGTTGGCTGGTTTACACATATATGGCGGTGGCAGGCCTGGCGCAATAAACAATAAATCAATCGCATTATAAATGAAAACATCGACCTAATTTTCGTTTATCGGCTTTATTGTTTCTTCGCATCGCTCTCTTTCTGAAGACACTGGACGACAAAAAGCTCAACTCCGGTGCTCTTCACTGATCCCCCCCTTTCTCTTTTCTCTTTAAAATCTGTTTTAATCGTCCAAAATCGCATTTTTGGATCATTGAAAGAGCTATGCTGAGAAGCTAAGCTACGAGCTAACCTAACAGGCCGACCTTGGGGACAAAAAACTCAGGTCTTCTCGAAGCTCCAAAATTCACGGTTGAAACCTGTGCCTTCATGTAAAAAGTTGTTTTTCTCTGCAAAAAGAAGCTGAAAACTTGTTTAATGATTTTTTAATTAAAAGCTTTGTGTGAAAAATGCTATGCTGAAGAGCTCAAACCACACAGAGCGTCCGCCATTTTGAAAACCTAAGAAAGGAAGGAGAGCCCATGTCACATCAAGGGGCCTCCCTCCCATTTTCTTAGACATGCTGCTCGCTCCCTCACTATCCATCCTTCAGTTCAGTCTTATACTGCCATCCAGTGGTCAAAAAAAGGTACTAAAAGTAAAACAAATTAAACATTTCTTCTTAAATTTGACAATAATGACTAATTATTGTCAAATTTCAAACAATATTATCGTTTATCGCAATAATTTCTGAGACAATTAATAGCCCAGCAAAATTTGTTATTGTGACAGGCCTAGGCGGTGGCCATTTTGGATTTTGATGTCGTTAGGGACATTTTTCATGCCTAGATGTAGCCACGCCCCACAATGGAAGTTGATACTTCGCTTTATTTTTCAAGTTATTCAGCTCGCAGAACAGACGAACGGAGGTTCTTTTTTCTAATTCCCTTCTTCTCTCCGTGACAAGGGACAAAAATTGAGCTAACTCCTGTATCTCACCGGACAGCAGCTGTTGGCAACAACCTAACAGCATTCACAAGTCCACTATGTGGCTTTGCTTCTTGTGGGACTCAGTTTTTTGTGGCTCCTCGGACTGATGAAGTCCTTTGGATGAAGGATGAAACGTCTCAATAAAAAAATAAAACGTCCAGATGGTCTGACTTTGTTGGATTTTCTACCTGGATGATTGAGCATGAACTTTGATGTTTAGAACCACGTTGGCTATGACTGCCTCAGAGGAGTCGATGGTGGAGAGGGTGGACCCCAAAAACCCACCAACAGCAAACTGGTTGGTCCACTAGGTGGGTTTGCTGCTTGTGGGACTGAGTTTGTTGTGGCTCCTCGGACTGATCAAGTCCTTTGGATGAAGGACGAAACATCATAAAAAAAAAAACATCCAGATGACCTGAATGAACTTTGGATTTTCTACTTGGATTATTGAGTATGAACTTTTACATTCTCAAGGCAGTTTCCAAAATGTCTCAAAGTGTTTGCAAGCGTTCTCAATTCCCTTGTGTGTCACTGGGATTTTGAAATCGTTTAACAAACTTGCACGACTTTTCTCTCAAAATAGTCAAAGGTGTCTCAAACTCATCTCAAACCTTTCTCAATTTAGTTTCCGTGAATCGGAAAGTGCAGAAACACGGAACAGCTTTGAGACGGTCTGGTGAAACACCAAACTAAAACTGATTAGGAACTGAAAAGAGAATTTGGATTCAAACTGAGACATAATTGAGACATTCTGAGAATTAATTGCAATGAAAAATGCAGAAATGTTGCGTAAAAGCTGCAGTTCATTTTGCAGCTACATGCTATATGTCACGTGTCGTAATTACCCAAATCGGTGAGATTCCAAGTGTGAAAACTGTATTTTCCCACAACATAGTGTCAATTAGTCGTCAACAATTACAGCAAGTTACGAGATTTTCATTTTTGTTTACATTAGCATCTAGGCTACATTGAGATATCGCATTACTTCAAATGAAACGGTTTCCATCACGGTGAAGAGCTACATTTAGAAAATAAATGTTGAGAAATGCAGCTTATCTTTTTCTTCTGCTGGTTGAAGTTGTCGATGATGACGCCAATAAACAGGTTAAGAGTGAAGAAGGAGCCGAAGATTATGAAGATGACGAAGTAGAGGTACATGTACAGGTTCACTTCATAGTCAGGCTGGTCTTCCAACTAGAAGCAAAACGATTGAAAGGTGTTAATGTTTTTTATGTCAATTCCCTAAAGACATAGATGGAGTTACATATAAAGTAAATGAACATGAAAATTAAGCTTACCGTTTATTTTTCTTGTTTTAAATGACACTTTAAAGCATTAAGTGACTTACATTTCTGGAGTCCACAGCTGCGTACATGATGTCCATCCAACCTTTAAATGTTGCCTATGTAAAAAAAAAAAAAAAAAAAAAAAGAAGGAAGAAGTTTGTTTTAGGTTTTAGTCACATCCTTCATCTCTCCAAGGCTGGTCATTTTCGTCAATCAGAAAAAGTACAGATGGACATTTCTGACGATTGTTGCTTATAAGAACTATTCATTATTCAAATACTTTCAGATTTTTGTGGACACAAAGTAACTCAAATATGTAGTATCAATGGGGCATTTTACAGCTGTAGCAGTTGTTTGTTTCTACTGGTGCCCATATCCAGCCATCACTGTGCGAGAGGAGGGGTACACCCTGGACAGGTCACAAGTTCATCACAGGGACACATGGAGACAAATGAGAAACAACCATTCACTCTCTCACTCACACCTAGGGACAATTTAGTTACCAATCAGCCTAACACAATGGTTCCCAACACTGGTCCTTGAGGAACACCATCCTGCATGTTTTGTTTCCCTGCTTTGTCTCGTCTGATTTAAATGAATCTGTGATTAACGGGCTTCTGCAGAACATAAGGAAGTAATTAAATCACTGAATCAGGTGTGTTGGAGCAAGAAAACAACTAAAACATGCAGGATGGTGTTCCTCAAGGACCTGGGTTGGGAACCATTGGCCTTACATGCGTGTTTTTGGTCTGTGAGAGGAAATCGGAGTACCCAGAAAAAACCCATGCATGCACGGAGAACATGCAAACTCCACCCAGAAAGGCCCATGGCAGGGATTTGATCTGATGACCTTCTCGCCGAGAGTCGGCAGCTCTATGAACTGCACCATCCTACGGACCTACAGTAGAATTAGACCATCTAGACCATCTTATTCCTTCAGAAAATGAAACTAAACCAATAAAATCAGTAACAAGTTAATATAAAATGAAATGGCACATGTAGAATGGACACCAGAGGGCATGCTTTACATGGTCGCATCATGAGTGGAGCCATTGTGTTATCAGATAGTTGCCAGAGTGCCTGACAAATGGTAAAAACAGTGAGTGAAGGTCAGCAAAGAGGATGTCACATTAAGACAGCATCACCAGCCTGATTCACATGGTGGTTGGACTGTGGGTTCACATGAAGCAGGCGGTCATGACATTTGTAAAACCCAGCTTGTGGGGTGTTCAGATGTTGGAATCAGTGGATACTGAAGGAACTGAAGGTTTCAGAACCCAAGGCAGACAACATCAACAAAAGATTGTCAAATTGTTCGCAAAGAATTGCAGACCCCTTTAAAGTCTGCCGTCCGGGGACAGATGTTGGACTCTTTAAAACAGCGTAGGTCATTCCACACTGCGTCTCAACAACTGGCATCAGACAGACTGAAGGTTCATTGGCTCCTGTTCCAAAAAAAAGCAGAGACTGCTGCATTTGAAGTGGTGCCAGGATGCATAAACTAAAGATGAACTGCCATCATATGTTTAGAGATGAGCCTCAGTTCTGTATTACCTTAGATAAACTTTAACGAGTATGGCAGCAAAAGAGGGGAGAGGATCGACCTTGTTGATGTTGTAGAGACGCACCAATATTAATCCAGGCATTACAAGGATGACAATCATACGGACTGACGTCAGGTCACCTTTGGTCAAAATTCTGGGGACTATAATAACACAGCAGTGACATCCTGTGACCTCATGTCTTACCCTTTCAGAGACAGCAACCTGGTACAGTCGTTAAACAAGAAAGCGCCTGTCCACGTTTGTTTATGGACCACCTTTGACACGTTGAAAGCCTTCAGCCAAGTCCCTTGACCTTGCTCCAATTGAGCATGTATGGGATGAGCCCAGATGTCAACCACTATCCAGTGCTATCAGCTGGTCCTCAGAAACCAGTAAAACAACAGCTGTGCCAGCGATACAACAGCTGTATAACTCCAAACCAGGACCAAGGAGGTGCTAGCTACATCCTACTGACAAGGCACCAGGAATACAGTAGTTCCTCGGTACTTTGCTGTTTGACTTTCATGGAGTCACTCTTTGGAGGGTTTTCAACGTAAGCTTGTGCGCACGACACACGATTGGCTGATTGATGAAGGCGACCAACCAGAGCATTGTGCTGAGTGGCAGACTGGCCATAAGGAGCACTGCAACATTTCCCAGTGGATCAAGGAGGAATAAAGGCTCGGTTCGGGTCGCGCTTGATTATTTTAAATAAACAATCCCTGCCACTTGTGTGGCTCACTCAAATATAAGACAGACCCCCTCGCCCCCTTCTTTCTTTTTCCGACGCTGTCCTTTGCTGTGACAGCTTCAGAAAAAGAAAGGAGGGTGGGGGGGTCTGTCTTATACCTGAGCGAGCTGTACAAGTGGCAGGGATTGTTTATTTAAAATAATCAAGGGTGACCTGAATTGAGCCTTTATTCCCCCTCTGTGATGACGGAGCGGGCCAGGCCACCGGGAAATGTCTCAGTGCTCCCGATGGCGAGTCTGTGCCGGCGATTGGATCAGTAACCGTAGCCATAGTCTGTCTGCTCTCTTTCACTGTGCTCTTTTAGAGCGTTTAGAACATTGTTAAGAACATTGCAAGAGTGTGGAAAGGAGTAAACTGTTGGGGGAAGAATCAGTTTTGTTGTGCGTTTCCTTGATTGATGAAGCATTCTGGACCAAAGGCGAAACGTTTCAGCACCAAAAAAAAAGAAACTGTCCAGATGACCTGACTGAAAAATGTTAGATTGCATACCTGAATTATTGTGCATGGACTTTGTTAGTGTGGGAAGGGTTTATAAAGCTTTAAAATAAATATACATATATACTAAAATAAATATAACATCCTTACTTGGTGGATTTTCACCTATCGCAGGGGTGTCTGGAACGTAACCCCCGTGATAAGTGAGGGACTGCCAACTCTGGTAACCATTTGCTCAGATTTAGTAATCATTACAATGAAGTGGCATGAACTTTCAACTCATTCAGTTTGATTCAATTTTCAGTACGGTCTGGGGAAATTAACATTTTCGGTGAGTTAGCCCTGTGACCTTGTGCAGGATAAAACCCATAGATAAATGGACCAGACTAAAGATTTCTATCACAGATCATTCCAATACATTCATACTTTAACCGCTAGTGCCACACGTGTCACTGAGGCCAAACGTACCACTTGTAGCAGGGCCAAATAACCAGCCCCAACATTGTCAAAGTTGATTTTGACGTTCTTCCAGCGTGCACTGTCATTGACCAGGCTCAGGCACTCGCTCTTGTTATTGACGACGGTGATGGGGAAGGGCTCGTCCGTGGTGGTGTTGACGCAGTAGTAGTACTTCCCTGCGAAAAGGTTCACGCCCATGATGCTGAAGATGAGCCAGAAGATGAGGCAGACCAGGAGCACGTTCATGATGGAGGGGATGGCCCCCAGCAGGGCGTTAACCACAACCTGAAGAGGTCGAAGCACACGCACATTCAGGATCCTCCCGTCGCTCAAACAGGTCTGTACTTACTGTCCGATTTTTGGCTTTTAGGATAATCGTATTTGATCTAACACATTAACTGTTTTGTATGAACCACACACATATCTACAAAGAAAATTTAACAGGACAGTTTGGAAGAAGAAGGTGGATAGGTGAACAAGTACATTTGATAGGTAAAAAAGCAAAACAGAAAAAAACCTTAGAGAGGCGGGATGAAGTCACAACATTTTGTTTGACTGTAAATGAAAAAAGACACACAACAAAGTAAAAATTACAGGTCAAAGGCACCACACGAGCAACGTCAGAAAACAAAGCCTGAGAACAGTGATATACAGTAATCCATTGACACGGTGTGAGCATGCAGATAGAAGAGCGGTGTCGATCGGCCAGAGGAGGACATCTTCAGAGAAGTTGCAGCAAGCATGCAGTCTTACAGGCAGGACCCCCCCTAACCAGCCACTTAACAACATTCTGTCTGTAAAAAGAAAGATGCCAGAACTGAGATAAATCAAGAAAATGAGAAAATGATTTTTTCCCTTTAGCACATTTAAGCGGACAACGAGCAAAGACAGAGATTATTTGTCAAGCTTTGAGGCATGGAAACAGAAAAATGTGATAAGAATGCAGTTCTTGTGAGAAAATTGTGGGCTAACTGAAAACAGCAACAGGAAGTGTAGCGTCAACAGGTTATGTTGGTGGTTTTGTTAATTAACAAACCATTAAAAAAATTAATCTTCTAATTTTGTCCGATAGGGGTGTAATGGTATGCCTCCGTCATGGTTCAGTACGCACATCTGTATGAGGGTGACAGATCACAGTGTTTCCCCTACCATTATCCAAAGAGGGCGCCCCGCCCTGTCAACTGAACTGAGCGGCGAGGATAAGCAGTTCAGATCTAGCATTAGTACCATAATGCTCCACTGACCCCCCCACACCAAATATTATTACCAAATAATCCTGTTGTAGAGTATAACTCTCCCAGAAGCAGAGAGAAAATAAAAATAAACTACCCGTGTTAAAAGGGAGGATCTAAGCGCAGAGGTTCCCAGCACTCGTCCTTGAGGAACACCATCCTGCGTGTTTTAGTAGTTTCTTTCTCCAACACACCTGATTTGAATGAATGGGTGATTTACAGGCTTCTGCAGAACTTAAAGAAGTAGTTAAATCACTGAGTCAGGCAAGTCGGAGCAGAAAAACAACAAAAACATTCAGGATGGTGTTCCCCAAGGACCAGTGTTGGGAACCTTTGTAAAGTAGTCTGTAATGGACAGTGATGCAGGATTCATAAACTAGTAAATTCACACAAAAAAATGTTAAATATGTTTTAATCCAATCTAAACTGTAAAACTTAAAGAAAATTATATATTTTTAGAAATAAATTACACAAAAATACAAAAATTAAATGAAATAAAACAAAAAGTTTTGCAGAGTTTGTTTAAATAATTAGATCCCGGTTTCATGCTAAATAAAAAGCAACTCAACCTAATGCTTTTCAAGGTGTTGCTTACTTAATACACCATACCTGCACCTCTCCGCACCCTCTGCTGCAGCCGTCTTCATCAGCGGCACATTTCTTTCAGCTGATTTGAACGTTCCTTCCTTGTTTGGTGATTTAGTATCTTTCTCTGTTTTTGTTCCTGTCAGGGCTGATGAATATCGCAGCGGTGATCACCCGTGACTGATGTATCTTCCGTCAGTTCACTGCACCCATCCAAAACATCTATACTAACCATCACGGTACAAATACACATACCCTTACACCCCTATTGTCCAAGTGCCATATTTTACATTATGTTGATGCATACTTATCTGAAAAGTATTTTGTTTTAGGGCAGCGTTAACTTATTGTAGGTAAAGTTTATTGTAGAAAACTGACAACTCAACTGCCTGTAATAGTGTGAACGTTGATGAAGCATTCACTCCATTGCGATCCATTTTTCTTCCGTACGTTTTTCAGTGTCGTCCCGCAGTTTTTGTGCCATTTCAACAAACCATGTATCAAAACGTTCAGCTCTTTCAGGACAATCCTGCTATGACTTTTGGTATTGGTGCAACTTTAGCCTTTTCTGACATTTTTTTCTCATAGAAAATGAATTGAGCTCATTTTTCATCCTTCAAATCTTTAGATCTGTTTACAACCTTTTACTGGTCCTTTCACATTTTGTTTTGCTTCAGCTTCTTTCAGCTTCCTGGTGCAAATAAAAAAAATCTGCTAATTTCAGCTGTTTTGTGCTCCTTTCAGATTATTTCTGCTAGCTACATTTTTGTGCTTCTGCAAACTTCTTTCTGCAAATTTCAGCTTGTTCTGTTCCTTTCAGCTCATTTATGCAATTTTCATCTTTTTCTGCTATTTCAGCTACTATTTAGCTGTTTTATGCAAATTCGAGCTTTTCCAGATAATTCCACATGTTTTGCACTCATTTAAACTTTTTTCAGCCTAATTCAGCAAAAATATGCTCTCTACTTCCTTCTAGTAATTTAAGCTTCTTTCTAAAACTTTAGCTGTTTTTTGTTGCTAATTTAAGTTTTTTTCAGGTCATTTCTACTTTCTGTACTCATTTAAGCTTCTTTCAGCCAAATGGGGCAAACCTTTCTGCTAACAAATTTGTTCTACCTTTTCAGCTACCATTTAGCATTCTTAGCTAATTTCAGCTGTTTTCAGATAAATTCAAGTTTTTCATGGTAATTTTTGCAACTTTCAGCCAAATTAACATATTTATGGTAATTTCAGCTTGTTATGCTTCTTTCAGCTTTTTTCTGCTAGCTTCAGCTTTTTCTGCTATTTCAGCTATTTAGCTGCTTGTGCTAATTCTAGCCTTTTCTGCTAATACCACATTTTTTGCACTCATCTGCACTTTTTTCCCCAGCCTAATTCAACAAATATGTGCTCTCTCCACTTCCTTCTGGTAATTTAAGCTTCTTTCTAAAATTTTTGCTGCTTTTCAGTAGTTATTTTTGTTGTTGTTTGTTGCTAATTTAAGCTTTTTTCAGATCATTTCCACTTTTTGCGCTCATTTATGCTTCTTTCAACCTAATTGGGCAAATGTTTCTGATAAGTTAAGCTTCTTCTACTTTTTCAGCTACCATTTTAGCATTTTTTAAGCTAATTTCAGCTGTTTTCAGATCAATTCAAGTTTTTCATGGTAATTTTTGCTACTTTCAACATAATTGACATCTTTATGGTAGTTTCAGTCTGTTATGCTCATTTCAGCTTTTTTCTGAAAATTTCATCTTTTTCTGCTATTTCAGCTACTATTTAGCTGTTTATGCTAGTTTGAGCCTTTTCAGCTAATGCCAGATCTTTTAGCTAATTTCAGCCGTTTCCGCTTCCTTCTGGTAGTTTAAACTTATTTCTGCCTTTTCAGCTACTTTTCAGTTTTTAGTTAAATTCCTAATTTCTGTTAATTTAAACCTAATTCAGCAAAAATGTGCTCTATCTGCTTTCTTCTGCTAATCAAGTCTTGTCTTTCATTTCAGCTACAATTCAGCATGTTTTTAGCTCATTTCAGCTGTTTTCAGATAAATTAAAGTTTTTCATGGTAATTTTTGCTACTTTCAACTTAATGAACTTCTTTATGGTAATTTCAGCTTGTTATACTCCTTTCAGTTTTTTTCTGCTAGTTTCAGCTTTTTTGGCTATTTCAGCTACTATTTAGCTCTTTATGCTAACTTTAGCCTTTTCAGCTAATTCCACTTTTTTTCTCATTTCAGCCTTTTTCACTTTAGTGAAAGCTTCTTTTTGCTTTTTCAGCTATTTATTTTTTTGCTAATTTAACTTCTTTTTTATTCTAATTTCCTAATTTTTGTACTTAATTTCTGTTAATTTATACTCATTTCGACAAAAAATTATTATTTCTGCTTTCTTCTGCTAATCAAGTCTTGATCTTTCATTTCAGCAAGTTTTTAGCTAATTTCAGCTGTTTTTCAGCAAGTTCCTCAGCAATAAAAATTCACACTGTATTTTCACAGGAAATACAATTTCTCTAGTTTTTATTTAATGTCATGCAACTCACTGGGCTCTACTTTTACTTTATAGGGCAATGCTTTACATAATTCATACGTTTAAACATTTTTACAGAAATTATATTTCTATCTCCCCACTGCCATAAAAGTAATTAAAGTACATTTTTAATTACAAATGTAGTTCTCATTCAAGTTGAAATAATGCCAAGAGTTCAGGTGAAAATATTAATGCCTTTGACTTCACACAAAGGTAAAGGCTTGTACATTCCCAGCAAACACTTTAAAAACATGTAGTAAGGCTCGCTAACATGCAGGTCATCTATTGCGTTTCCTAAGTAATGGAGGTAGTTTCAGCAAAAACGAGAACAGTTTTGACTTTTAAAGCCTGTCGAGGCAGTTTGTGCTTTAATATGTTTGCAGCTAGCCCACAGACAATCATGGTGCACAAGTGGATCTGCGTCGCGAGTCCCCCCCCCCCCCCTTGTTTTCTTACCCTCATGCCCTCAAACCGAGACAGGGCCCTCAGGGGCCGGAGGGCTCGCAGTGTCCTCAGAGTTTTGATGGCGCCGAGCTCAGAGTAGCCCAGAGCGTTTGCTACGAGGCTCACCAAGGACACCTGGGAGACGATAATGTCAAAGACAAGCGGGGTGAAAGGTGAGAAGTAAAAGGGGGTCGTTTGCACCGTGTCACCCTGCGAGTTTAAAGACCGTTAAGTGGATGTTAATGATGAGGCTGCTGCAAAGTTAAGGATAAAAAAAATAAATTAATATCAGATGGAGAGTTGTTAAACAATAAAATATTCATCATATTGTAAACGGTTCTTTTCAAATTTGCAGATTTAGTTTTAAATACAGTTTGTCCCCGAGATGCTCCGATACTGTGTGAGGGTACAGCTACAAGCTAGCAGAGCTCACCACGTTAGCACAATGCTACCACCACGTGTCCAGTGTTCTCCGATCCTGGTCCTCCAGGGCCACTATCCTGTATGTTTTAGATGTTTTTCTGCTCTAACACACCTGATTCCATTGAATAAGTGATTAACAGTACAAAAATGCTCAGTCAAGTCATCTGGACTGTTTCTTTTTTGTAGAAAGACATTTTGCCCTCTATCCAGAGGGCTTCATCAGTCTGAGGAGTCCCAAGTAAACTGTTTCCCCATCAAGCAGTACACCCCTTAAGTGGACCAAACGGTTTGCTGGAGATAAGATAAGTGATTAACAGGTTTCAGCAGAACTTGAAGACCTGTTGAAGAGCAGGGAAGAGTCTAAAACATGCAGGATAGTGTCCCTTAAGGACCAGGATTGACAACCACTGGTATAAGTGGTTTCCATGACCTTGTCATGAACAGGCCTGGGCTATGCTTCAAATCAGTCCTGCTTCAAATTCTCAATGATCAAGCCACCATGCTCCATCCAGGACCCAGAATACTAATACATAGTATACTGTTTGTCCCATAGTCTAAATACAAACGTCAGGGCGACCGGGACTTTTTGGTCACCTCACCCAAACTGTGGAACCAACTACTGCAGGACTTGAGCTCATCACTGATCTGGGCCTTTTTTAACAACTACACTCAGGCATTTTTGTATTGTGTTTTTAACTTTTGAACTGTGAAGTACTTTGTGCACCTTTTGGCTGTTGTTAAGGGCTCTATAAATAAATGTTGACTGCATGATTGATGTGCTGAAACCACACTGATAAACCACCATAACCTCACTGTGGAAGTTTGTGCTACTCAAGTCAAATTTATTTATAAAGCACACTTAAAAACAGCAGGTGTTACCAAAGTGCTTAACAATAAAATCAATGGCAGTAGTTAAAAAAAACAAAAAAAACAAAATGTAATTAAAAGTATCAAAAGAAAAACATAAAAACGCAAAACATTGACATATTAAATCAAATCACACTGTGTTAAAAGCCAGGGAAAACAGGTGTGTTTTAGAAAAGATTTAAAAACGGGAAGTGATAACAGAAGAGGTCCAAGAATCGAGCCCTGTGGAACCCCGCAGGAATGAGAGGCTGAAGCAGATGAAATATTACCAACATTAGCACAAAAGCTCCTGTCACTCAGATAAGAATGGAACCATTCTAATGTTGCAACTGTAATCCCAACCCAATGTTCTAACCACAATAAAAGGATACTGTGGTCAACAGTATCCTTTACGCTAGCTCAAAACTCTTGAGAACCTCTATCATGTTTAATGTGTACCCAATTGGTTTCTTAATACGGGCCTGAATACCTCGCTAAGACATTCCAAAGACCATCTACTACATCCTAGTGGGGTTGCCATCCAGTGGGAAGGTTAACTCTGAATATTGTGATTGAAGAAAAAAAAAAATCAACATAGCTCCTGGTATCTATCAAAGAAGACAAAAGTTACTTGATAGTTTAGAAGCTATAACAACTGAATGTACGTACATCTACAATAAGGAAGTCAAGCCAGCACCAAGCGTTGGTGAAGTACTTGACGAAGCCGTACGCCACCCACTTCAGCAGCATTTCCAGGATGAAGATGTACGTGAACACCTTGTCTGCGTACTCCAGCACTGTCTTGATGGTTCGCCGCTGCTCGATGTAAACATCCTCAAATGCCTACACACAACATCAACAGAAACAGAGTTGCGTGCATGTGAAAGATTAATAATAAATGCATGGAGAAGTTATGATCTCCTAAAAGAGAAGATTTCAGCTCAGGTGAGTAAAGGTAAAATGTATCATCTGTGACTGGAATGTAACTTTGTGAAATAAAGAGCTACTTACCAGCGCTCCACTGCTGAGCAGGATCATGAATATGATGAAGGATTCAAACCAGTTGTGCTCCACTATGATAAAGCAGGTTTTTCGGAGAGTCCACCAGCTCTTGAACCAGCCTACGTCCTCGCTGACCTGACAGCACTGGAACCTACGGACGCAGCCTACAGGAACAATAAGGATGGACACATATAATGGGCGCATTTCGCACTTGGTTCCATCTTGTGCCCTAGATGACAAAGGTGGGAATGAATAGCTCAAAAAGAACAGCAGACAGCATTCAGAAGTGGTCTAAGAGTCATGTGACCAAAATCCAAAACCCAGAGGAGTTCAAGCTACTCAGACATGCCACCATGAAAGTGATGCATTCATGTTTTACTGTGGTCTACAGACATGTTTTACAGATTTATCATGTTCTGGATGACTGAGAATCTACAACCTCAAAGTTCATGCTCAAATGATCCAGGTAAAAAAAAAAATCCAACAAAGTTCAGTCAGGCCATCTGAACGGTTTCTTTTTTGTTGTTGAGACGTTTCGTCCTTCATCCAAAGGACTTCATCAGACCAAGGAGCCACAACAAACTCAGCCCCACAAGCAACTGACCACTTTGGCTATGGCTGCCTCAGAGGCGTCGATGGGGGAGAGGGCGGGCCACAGAAACCATCTTATCACCAGGAAACTGGTGGGCCCACTATGTGAGTGTGCTGCTTGTGGGTCTGAGTTTGTTGTGGCTCCTCGGAATGATGAAGTCCTTTGGATGAAGGACGAAACGCCTCGACAACAACAACAAAAAAAATAATGCATGCAGATGATCTGACTTACCGTATTTTTGGCTGTATAAGTCACTTTTTTTTTGTGCATAATTTGCATGTCCTGTGACTTATAGGCCGAAGCAACGTATTTATGGATTTTCCCCATATTTATAAACCAATTTTTGGCTGAGATATGACCGTTTTCATTCATTCTGACTGAAAATATTGAACACTACCATTTTCAGCCACTAGATGGCACTCGAGTAGTAAGACATGCCATTGTATCATGTAATAGGTACAAGTGGCTATTAATGTCACAATCAGCTTGCCATAATCAGCCACCGCCATCTGCCTGGGACAACCGTCAGATCAGCTTCATTTCGCTGCGTCGCCTTGACAAAATGCAGCTAATTTGACCATTGAAGTGCATTTATTAAGTAAACGTTCAACTGAGACATACCTCAACTATAAAGTCACCTAAACAAATAATTGTTTTTAGGTGTTTATCTTGTTAAATTTCAAAGAAATGCACAGCGATGCGCGTGCCCGCTTTCGCAAATCGGGTTTTAAAATGCAGCTGATTTGACCGTGAAAGTGCATTTATTAAACAAACATTAGATTGAGACACACATTTACTATAATTTCGAGCAAACAAATAATTGTTTAAGTGTTAATCTTATACAATTCTTGTTGAAGTCCTCCTGTGCATGCTCACGCAGCCGCCATTTGGAAGCCAATCGATTTTTGGCACAACATCGGCCTACATTTCCAGGTTGTGGTGACGTAACAAACACGACAGATGCAACGTACACTGCGAAGACACGTATTTATGGATTTTTCCACTTTATTAGACATATTTGGACTGATGCGACTTATAGGGCGGTGTGACGTGTACGGTGGAAAATACGGTAACTTTGTTGGATACAAGAAAACCCTACATTTGACTTTTTGTTTTAGCTTATTAAACACAAAGTTAATGCTTTGTACTCCTCATGAGTAATTTGTGGATTTAGCATTTGCTGTGTGTCAGATAAAATGTCAACTTTGATCATTAGCGTTCACTGTCAAACAGACTAGTATAACAGACTGGTGTTGAGCATAAGCATTTAAATCAATTTACTCGTTGACATAAAACCACTCTGGAAATGGTCTACCTCTTCTATCCAACTACGAATCACCCTTCATGTCTAGCACAGACTGTAATTTTCACCTTCTGTGAAGCAGGCCTCTGGATCCAGAGACTCCTCTGGTTCCAGTTCCACTGATTCAGCACCATCTCCTGGGGGTCGAATATCAACCGTGCTCCCCTCCGATGAGCTCAAAGGCTGTGGGTCGACGTCAAGCTTCTGAATGGACGAGGTAGAAGATGACAGAACACAGTCACATGGAAAAACTGAGGTGCGCTGGTCATAGGAGCCAACCTTCTGAGCTGATTATCGTGATTCTCCATTCACATGTACTCCAGTGCCACCACTATATACCTTAGAGTGGAGAGTAGGCACTGAAAAAGCTCAGAGTTGGGCTCTTTAAAAGTCATCATGACTGTTGCATCATCATCGCATGCAGCATCTATCAAATGTACCTACAGGCTTTGGTATTGTTTTATCTGATGACTTCAAATCAGGTTATGTGGCAAAGGGAGGTTAGTGTTACGGAAATGCACTGTGGGTACGTTTGATGTGACCTCAGTTCGAGGAAGAGTGCATGCAGTATTCCAGTGCATTACCAATCCAAGCCTGAAATAGTATCAAGCAGAACATGGGTATTTTCATGTCCACTGAAAAAGAACCCCGAATAATGTTCATTCTAGTTCTAGTCCCAATTTCCAAAGTCTCGTTCATGAGTTCTCTTCCCGTCCTCAGACCTAAAACCCACCCCCTGTAAAGCTGTAAAACATTTTCCTCAGTGGCATGAAAACACGTTTTGTTTTGTTTTCTCCCCATTCCTTGAAAGCAGTGTCAAAGCTTCTTCTTTTTGTGCTGAAGTAGACGGATAACCACATTAGCTTACCAGCAAAAACCAGTACTGTGCACTGTTTAAAAGACAGCATGTGGTATGGTGTATTTTTAGTCCCATATAAAGAAACATACTGAATTGGCACCCAAGCATACCCAGAAAACATACAGGATTACATAAAGGAACTAGTGATTTTTGTCCTTTTGTATTAAAAAAAAAAAGATGACAAGACAAGTGTTACTACTTGCTCAATATGCACCATCCTAATTAGTTTTTAAATCGATGTTATGTTAAAAAAAGCCTAAATAGCTGAATTCTAAGCACTAAATTATATCACAATATTGTCTGTATAAAGTGAGACTTATTAGTGACATGAGTCCCCCTGTCTTGTTTTTCTTTATGCAAATACGTTGTAGTTCTCATATCTGATCTGACTGATCCTTAAAATTCAAATTAGAAGTCTGTCAAATAAATGAAAATGAGGTAAATAATTTTCATTTATTATGCGATTAATTGATTTATCGCGACAGGCCTAATAAATCCTATAGCTAGGCTTGTTGTGGTGCTATAGGCTTAGACTACAAGAGGACAAACTGACATCATGTCTTAAAATTAATTGTTAAAATTGAATAGTTTTCATTTGATACTATTTCTATCTTAACGTGATTCTCGACCTGCCACTGTGTATCTGTTCCTCTTTCCTGTTCCTATCAAACCCAGCCGATCAAAGCAGATTGGTCGAAGCTTGTCCTGAGCCTGGTTCTGCTAAAGGTTTCTTCCTCATGAGGGAGATTTTCCTTTCCACTGTTGCCTTCAAGCTTCCTCCAGACGATGTGTGCGATGACATTAGATAAATAATGTTAACTGACTTTTTATGTGTATGTATGTTTCTATTCAGTGCCCTGAGATGACTTCTGTTGTGACTTGGCACTTTATAAAAAAAACTGAATTGAAAAAATACCCAGAATTACTTCATTTTGGGCGCTAAAATACATCACGATATCATCTGCATATGGTGAGACCTTTTGGGTGACATGAGGCCTCCTGTCTGTCTGTCTTTGTAAAAAGATAATGTTTTTAATTTTGTGTTTTGTCCAGCTGAAGTGGGGAACATTGGGACATGTCATCCTAGACAGTGCAGCAGCCCTGATTGCCGTGGGACCCAGCTAATACGGAGTGGGAATGATGGAAGCATGCTGCTTGCGAGTGCATTGCTTTTGGAAGGATACTCGTGTTTTGTTTTGTTTTTCCTCCGTCAGCAGAAACAAATCCATTGGATCTCTTCTGGGTGTTTCTTTCAAAAATTACAGGTATTTAAAAAAAAAAAAGATTGCTTTACCTTAATTTAACAACTTGAGACAATCGCAGTGGAACAAAAGTGGATAACACAGGAATATTTGAACAAAGAGCCACTTCACAAAAATGTGTACACCCATCATCTCTACAAAGTACTGAAACTGCCAAAAGAACACAGAAATATACAAATATATAAATGGATCAATAAAATGGCCAGTTTTTATTCCTGTCTTTCTTTTTCACATTTCCCTGCTTTTACTACTAGCTTGATTAATTTATTAAAATGTATTTTACATTTTCATTTTATATAAGTAAATATTTGCATTCTTTATTTATTTATGCATTAGTTCCTGATTGGTGATCAGTGCCACGGCTTCATAATCCTATAGCTGCAGGTTTAAGCCCAAGTTGCGTGAGGAAAGGTGTCCGGAATTACGTCTTTTTGCGAGTTCACTTATTGTGGAGACCCCCATAGAGAGGAAGAGCCAAAAGTGAAATAATAATGTGCACTTTTTTCCTGTTTCTATTTCTGACCGTTTGCCATTTCTGCATGCTTATCATCTTTGTTATGTAAATGAAGAGAGTTGTCTTTCAGAGTGTGTCTTCAAATGAGCACATTACAGCAACAGAAGCAGGAGCTACATAAGCTAAAAGTTTCAATAGCAATAGCTGATTCCCAAAACATTAGTTAAAATTCTGTCCATTGGGTTATTTAGTTTCTTGCTTTAGGTCAAAAAACAACTGTACTTGTAACAGAAGAATTAAAGGCTGAGCAAACCCAAGCCCAGGAAATGTAAAATTACAAAATAATTAAACACTACCATTTGTGTTTGCTGCTCCGCTCATTTAGCTCTAGTTTAGTTTGTCCACATTCAGAAAAGCTCTACAAGTTGCAGATTGCGCCACTGACAAATTTCTGAAAATTTATCAGTTGGACTGCAACAATCAGCTGTATTAAAAACTTATAATCCAGTGGTTCAATTTCATAAATTTGAACCACATAAATAATCACTTTTTATTACTTTGTTATGACACATATAGCAGTTTTTATTTGATAAACTATTTTTTTAAAGCAAGATGAGCTCATTTTAATGCCAAAGGGGCTAGCAGCTAGCGTTGTCTCTATTGCATTGTGCAATTCTTTCATGTCAAACTGAAACATGACATGTACTCTTTCATGTGCATCGCAAAGAAACGCACACAAAAAACCACTATAAAAGATATGATCAGAAGAGTAAAAAATAATAAAATGGGGAATAACACGGAAATAAATCTATCTCTATATTTAAAACATACACTGATCAAATGAAACTATACATTGCAACACGAGAGGAAATATATAAATAGGAACTGTATTTTCCCTAGTGTTTCCACTCATAGTAATTTATTTTTTGTTGATGGGGAATGAGGATGGGATGGAGTCACATCTGTGTTGCCTGCTCGCTAGCTTAGTGCTATGCTGTGTTGCCTGCCCACTAGCTTAGTGCTATGCTGT